TGGGAGCATCGGCCTTGGGCTGGGACGGGTGCTCGGAGTGGAGCTTGGGCAGTCTCCGAGGGAGGGTAGCCCCAGGTGGGACCAGTCTGTCCTGAAATGAACGCAGAAGGCCATGTCAGAGGTGGCTGACTTTTGAGTATTGCCTTCAAAGCAGCCGAGCATTGAGTTGGCTGGGTAAACGTTTGCATCGTACTGGCTCTAAAGAATTCCAGCTCATCAGTGGGGGAAAAAAATGTCTTTGAGAGATGCCTGAGAAACAAGATCTGTAAGGAACTGTTCTCTTTAGCGAAATGCAGAAATGGTAAAGGTCAATTTGATACATTTCCTGATTTTTATGTACCTGGCAAAGCAAACTTAACATCCTCTAAAAAGAAGCCAACGAAATTTAAAAAAAAAAAAAAAAAAAAAAGGCAAAACTGAGATAAAGTTGAAGTCAAGGTATTAAGTAAACTTGTAAACTTTCATACTTTAATTTGCCAAAGGATGTCTGTAGTAGATATGTGTGCATATGTGTAATTTTATAATTGTAGCTTTTTTGCAAGATCTCAGTGTTGCATATTCAGCATGACAGTGCTGTCTCCCTTTATGTGTCATTCTCCTCAGCATTTCCCATTCGCCAGCTGACTGTCTGTATTGTGTACGCTAAAGGATTGGCAGAACTGTCCTAACTGCTCCTCTGCCTTTACTTTCTAAGTAAGAACATAAAGCAAAATGCAACTATTTTACCATTGTTAAGGCCACAGTCCAGATTCCAGTTCCTTGCATTAAGCAGATCCCAGTCTTAGGTGGTGGGACGAGGCTCTTTCATTTTTAGCTTATCTAATGGGATTGGTGAGCAGACGAAGGAATACGAAGAAGGTGGCTTCTGCATGGTGTGACTGGAGTAGAGGCGTAGCACTGTCTTGTCCCACAGAAATGCAGCATGGCTGCGTTGATCTGATTCACAACTTGGTACTGACCCCTCTGCAGAACTTCAAGACTTGCCCCGAGAAGTCTTTGCTGTTGATCCAACCAATGTATGTCAAACTCCAAACACAGAGGTTCTCTACAGGTGCAGGAAATGCAGGTACTGAACCTTCTATATTTCTCCATAAAATGACATTTTGAAATCAACTCAAGAGAAAAGTAGCCCGTGTAAATCAACAGACACGTCATTATTGTCAGGACAGGGATGAGCTCTTGCCAAGGTTTCCATAGCGTGTGTGCCACAAAAAAATCAGACAAATAAAAGTATCTTATGAAATACAACGCTTTTTGTACCTTGGAGTTGTGCAGTACTTGTGCAGCCTAACCTGCTATGTTCTATAGGCTGGCATAATTCTGCTTGGCGCTCTGAAGTTACTTGCTCTGAAACCATAACTTCTAGTTTGTTTTTGACAGTTGGTTTCTCCAGAAGAAAATTCTGGTAGATTTTGGGGTTTACTGCATTTTAACTACCTTTTATGATTGCTGAAAGTGAAATTGAATAATCCCGCTATTTCCTAGGTGTAGATTTCTTCAAGTATATGAGGGTAGATTTACAGTTTTAGTAGGCAGGAGTTGTTTAAAAATAGATCAATATAAAAGACAGCATACAGCTGTGGGGCAGAGCTGAACCTACACAAATCACTACATTTGTTAAGAAGCAACCCTGAATGGAGTCGGTGGCTGCTGACCTCCTTCAAATAAAAAAAAATGTAGGATTTGTAATCCTGCTTGATTACTTACTGTCGAGGGGCCCCAGGTCCCTGTTTTCTTTTGTCTGTAGGTTTCCCCAGTAAAAAAAAAACAACTATTTTACTTCTTTCCCCCCCCTTCATCATGGAGGGCAGGCGCGCTCTGTTCCGTAGCTCCAGTGTTTTGTCCCACACGGAAGGAAGCGGACCGGCAGCCTTTGCCCGCAAGAGGATAACGGACTCTGCTCAGCTTGGTGGCGACGGCCGCGAGAAGTGTACCTCTTACTTCACTGAGCCCGTGCAGTGGATGGAGCCAGCGTTGCTCGGAGTATTGGAAGGACAGGTGAAGGAGAGAGTGTGCTTTATTTTTTTTTTGTTTTTTTGCAAAGGCAGAAAAAATGTTTCTGTTCCCTGATACGAAAGCCCCTGCACAAGGGCCTAGGTCTCCCAGCCTTTCTGGTGTGAATTTTGCAGCTTATGAACGAATTCTTAAATGTTAAATATCCTTTTAATAAGGAGACGAGCTGGTGGCCTTGTTGGACTGAGAGTATGAGCCAGAGTGTTAGACAGGGTTTATCTGCTGCTTGGTTTTAGTATGAGAAAAATTGTTGGTGGGACTTAGAAAACCTGCTGTGGTGTCAGGCTGCCTCATGCTTTCTGGAGACTGGCAAAATTGTCCTGGGACCACACTGGCTCTGAGCAGCTGCATTTCCACCCACTCCCTTCTGCCAGCACAGCTGCCTGCTACACCCCAGGGCTGACCAGCCACACCAGTTTAGCTTTTTTGCTCATTTTTAAGCCCGTTTACCTTCTGTGAAGTGTTACAAGGAAAGGAGCTGGCTCAGCGCAGGTTGCACAATTTAATCTACCATAGAAGTGAATTCTAAATAGACCTACGTCCGCGTGTGCCTTAGAGCGGGTCGTGTTTTTCTTGCAGCTTCTATGTCCTAAATGCACATCGAAGCTGGGCTCCTTCAGCTGGCGGGGTGAGCAGTGTTCCTGTGGCCGCTGGGTGACACCTGCCTTCCAGATCCACAAAAGTCGGGTGGACGAGGTGAGGACATTTCCAGTTGGTAACTTCCAAACTGCCAAAACCTGAATTTGTCGCTTCTCTCGATGGATTTCTCAACGTCCACGAAGAACTGCTGGCTAGTCTGTGGTTGCCAGGTGTGAGCTTGTGACTTCCACCCTTTTGCAATGCGGTGGAATTACTTGAACATTTGCTCTATTCGAGCTTGCTGTTATCTCTAATATATATAAAATAGCAAAACACTTCCTTCAAAGAGGTGTTGAACAGTGGTCAAATATGTTAAAAATGCCTGAATGTGATGTCTTTAGTATATTCTCACTTCATTTGTTGCTATTTACAGAAGGTCTCAGCTCCTTATTTAAAAGGAACACTAATGTGTTACTTTCAGGCTGCGGCCAGCAGTGCTGCATATCTTCCCATCCACACGTTCCAACCAGTCTGTCCAAAACACACAGCGGAGGTTTTAGGAGGAATATCCCACAGTTGTGAGGTACATGGCAGGGAAATATTTTAAGGCTTAGCAAAGTGCTGTAAAATAGTACAACTGCTGCATTAGCATGCACGGCAGCTACCAGCAGCGAAAGGCAAGTTTAGAGTTACACTTTTATTGCAATAATAGTAGTCCTAAAAATACCTAACCCAAGAATATTTACTACATTATAACTCTTTCGTGTAATGTTTGAGGAGACTAGGCAAGCCGTACGGGAACGGGAGAACTGAAGTAAAGTATCCCTGCCAAACTGCTGATACCAGATTTAAAGAAATCCCTAAAACGATGAGGTAAGATTTTAAGCAAACTGTGAGCTTTCCTGATGGGGTGCTGCATTCCTAAGAAAACAGAAAAGACCTACTTTAAAGCAATTTTATTTTCATTGACTTCAACAATTTTTTAAACTTTTTTTTTGTACACAATTTCCAGCAACATACATTATGAAATATACAAGATAAAGTAGGTGGTGTGGTTCTGCTCATCTTTTAATTCCTCCCACAGCTGTGGAGGGAAGACTTGCAGGACACAGTGAACTTCAGAATCTCAACACTGAAAACAGACACAAAACAAAAGAAGACAAAAATATATATGAAACTGTTTGAACTGGTCACACTTCAGGGCCAGGTACAGCACAATAAATATTAGAACTGCATTATCTTAGACATCTTCTGTAAAGTTTATAACATCCTCTAAAGAGATAAGAACATCTGGTTTCTAGCATGAAATGCTACATAGTACAGTGGTGAAGGGTACGAACGATGAGGAATCCAGCAAGGGCTTGGATGGTGACTACTCACTCACACATGCTCATTGGTAAAATAAGCAGCATACACCGAAAGTTTAGTGAGCTGTAAATTTAACCATTCACTGCCAGAGTATCAGCTGGAGTAGCTCCTCTTGGGAGAACCAAAAATAGTCAATCCCTTTAAGTTTCTCCCTGACAAACAGTGAGGTGATACCATAATGGAAGTGGCAGCATTTGGTCCGTAGCGCGAGATCCCTTCGCATCGCTACTGTTCAAAACTGGCAGCCAGTGGAAATACGTCAGTGCAGAATTAACGCTTACGTAGCCGCACCACTGCCACGGTGTTGCCGACAACGATTACTGTTTCATGACGGTAACAAAGCAGCACACATCAGCTGGAACCCAGCTGGGCACAGGGTGCTGCACAACCAAGCAGCATCGGCTGGCAC